GGACGAAGAACAGGAGGAGGAGGATGTACCAAGGATTGACAAAAGATTTACCATAACTTCAGTCCTGCCTCTGCCGTGCAGAAAGGACCTGCTGGGCCACGGGGGGTGTCCCCGATGGCCACCTGTGGTCGGGATGCCCTAGCACGGAAAGCCCGCGCAGCGCCCGACGCCGCGCGCCGGCTCTGCCACACCAGCGGAAAGTATCCCGGGTCGGCTGGAGGCGACCCGTAGGGCCTCGCCGCCAAGCCACCGGCAGGGGTCCGCCGCGTCGCTCAACAACGCAGTACCCCACCTGCCCCTGCGCAGCGCGGCGGAGGGGCCGTGCCGCCTCCGCGCGCGCGCCCCCATGGACGACAGGGGTGCCCCACGGGGGGGGGGAGGAGCGCCAGGTAGGAAGAGGCCAGGGACCCCGGGCCAGGGAGGGAACCCTGGCAGCGGGGGCATCCCGGCCCTTTCCCATTCCACACCCCACTCACCCCAAGGGGGAGGGCCCCCGCGGCCGACGGGGGTGCAGTCCCCAAAACCCCCCGGCCGCCCACCGCCTATTACGGCTAGTCCCTGGCTCTATATCTATCCCGCCGATACAGGCGGCAATCGACCACTTTGGGTTCCCCGACCATCTAGGTGTGGTCACCGGGCCCCCGGCTTACGCGGGGGGGGGACAGGAGGAGGAGGAGGAGGAGGAGGAGGAGGAGGAGGAGGAGGGAGGAGGAGGAGGAGGAGGAGGAGGAGGAGGAGGAGGAGGAGGAGGAGGAGGAGGAGGAGGAGGAGGAGGAGGAGGACGAGGAGCAAGTGGGGAAGGAGGAGGAGTTTCAAGAGTTTCAGGAGGAGGAGGAGGAGGAGGAGGAGGAGGAGGAGGAGGAGAAGGAGGAGGCGGCGCAGTCGTCCCGGGACCCCTCGCGGGCGCCAGCGGCCAGAGCGCGGGCCGAGGCCGCCGCCCCCCTGTGCGCCCCAGTGGGCTGGCGGCGGGCTGGCTTGGAGCAGGGGGTCGACTACTCGCCATCGCTCGCACGTCCATTTCCCGTGCATGGTTCGGTTTCGTGCGTGTCTTTTTTGCTCGATGGTCCAGGATCGTCCTCAATGGTCCTCGCCGAGACAAATGCACACGTCCGAGCGATGCCAAGACTACAGCCAACCCGTATAGCAAGGATGCGCGGTGCAGTGGAGGCCAGTCCACAAGAGACCTTCCACAAGAGACCCAACCCTGAGACCCCAGGACGTCCTCTGACGTTTGGTGTGGCGTGGGAGCGTCTCGCTTTCCACAGCAGAACCATCGGAACCCAAGAGACCCAGGGCACCCTGGAGGCAAGCAGGGTGTTTCTTGGCATGGGTCTCCACTGTAAGGATGCAAGGGCCTTGGAGGGTCATTTTCGAACGAGGCTGGCCAGCGCAAGTCGACACGAATGGGCCGAAGGGGAAGGATGCCAGGGTCACCTTGGGAAGGGTGCTCATCTTTAGCATGCGGGTTGACTGTGCAGAACGATGTACCCCAGAACTTGCCATCGCTCGGACGTCAATCCCGTGTATGTTTCGATTTCGTGCGTGTGCATTTTTCGAAAGTGATCCTAGATGTTCTTCAACGGTCCTCGCCGAGGAAACCAAGCACACGTCCGAACGATGCCAAGAGACTTGATTTGTTCGCCGAATCTACGTAATGTTCTTGGGTCCGGCGAGATTTTTGTTTGTACGTTTTGGGGTGCATCGATTCTGCAGCCGGCCTCCTACTCGAAGCATAGGGCGGTACGGCCGGGAACTGGACTGCAATGCTGGAGAACAAGACTGCAACGCATTACACGCTGCAATGCGCACTGCGCTGGCAGGGGTCGTGCTGCGGCAATGGTTGGCACTGCGCGCTGCGCACCTCCCTGGGCCCTGGGCCTCCCACTGGACCGCAAAAAGCCAAAAACTGCAGTGCTAGCGCTGTCAGCGCGCAGCTCAGACCAGACCCACCAGACCAGCCAGACCAACAACCAAAAGCCCAGACCAACCAGATCCGCCGCCCAGATCACCTGGACCAGGCAGACCAGCCACTCGGGCCAGCCAGAGCGACCAACCAGAACGGCCAGGCAGAGCAAGCAGACGCTAGCCGTCCAGACCAGCGAAGCACAGACCAGACCGAGCAGAGGAACCACGCCACACCCAGCAGACCAGCCACACTAGCTAGCCGTCCGTTCAGCAACAACCAGACCAACCAGACCAACCAGGCCAATCAGACCAACCTGAATTAGAACAGACCAGTGAACACGAGTTTCGAAACGGCAATGCAACGCACACCAACTACAGTGCAACAAGCAACTGCAATGCAGCACAACGCGAAATGCAGAAACAAGCGCAATGCGCACTGCGCTGGTAGCGGTTGTGCTGCGGTAGTGGTTGGCACTGCCACCTTCGCGCCTCCCTGGACCTCCACCTGCATTGCAAAACACACTCGACGTCAAAGCTTCAGCACGAAGCTCGAGCCAGACCAACCAACCAGACAAGCCAGACGAGATGCACACAACAACTGCAACGCAACAACAACTGCAATGGAACAGCAACTGTTTTGCTGTCGTAGTCGTTGGCACTGCCTCCCTGGACCTCCCCAAAACCAGTCTCACCCGAATCCGGAGCTAAATGAAGCTTCAGCACTGAGCGCAAACCAGACCAACCAGACAAGCCATACCAAATGCAAACCGAAACTGCAACGCAAAACAAGTGACATACAACACAGCTATCTTGCTGTCTTAGTGGTTGGCGCTGCCTCCCTGGACCTCTCCAACACCAATCTCGCCCGAATCCTAAGCTAAAGCGTCAGCACCAAGCTCAAGCCAGACCGACCAGGCCATCCAGACCAGATGCAACAAAGCTTAAGGCTGAAACTTCAAGCTTGCTCTTTTGAAGCTTGGCGTCCCACCGTGCGCTACAACGGCTAAGAACTTCATTAGGAGTTCCGCGCGGAGCTCCGACAACTTCTGCTAATGCCGTTCTGTGTTCTTCGAGCTGGCCCGCATGTGTTCCGATTGGGCAGAATCTGATTGACTCTCCGGGGGCGCGCTAAAAATACGGATGAAATGCGCTTCCAGGGCTAGGCTCATGTGCATGACAACTCCCAAGGCAAATACAATTGCGTATGATCTGCGCCCCCCCCACGGCTCCGAAAGCCTCGATCCGTGATACTCCTCAACCATTTCCTGCCCCACACTCTACTGGGACACGTGGAAATACGAGTGATCTGCGCTCTCGCTAGTGTGGCACGTAAAAGCTACAATGATTAGGCAACGAGGTTTCTGGGGAACTCCTTTCCATTTTTGAGGGGGGCCTCAATTCGGCAGCACACTCCTCACGCGCTTCGTGAATGTTGGGCGCTCAGCTGGCCCCGGCGACGGCTCCTTGGTGCCTCCGTTTTGCACACTTGCCCTGTGACTCTTCGCCCAACCCCCCAGAGGAGTCACACGGCCTCAGCACGCCTCTGCAATTCGCGACCCCCCAAATTCTGGCACGCACCTCCCCCTCCCCGCGAGCCCTTTTTTTGTTTGTTAAATGCCTGAAGTAGTCCAGACAGTGCTCGTGTCTCCAGCTGAGGAGGGAGGACGGAGGGAAGGCGAATACTGGTGTGTGCTCAGGGATGCTCAATTTAAACAATAAGCCGCTGCTTCGAGCACAGGGGGGGCAAAGGGAAGCCAGTCGAAAGCCGTGGCTTCCCGTTGCCCCCCCTGTGCTGTCGACAGCCTGGTGGCCTCGGCGGCCGCCTCCGGCTCGCCATCGCCAGGGCGCCCGCTCCCCGTGCAGTGCTTCGATGGAGGAGGAGGAGGAGGAGGAGGAGGAGGAGGAGGAGGAGGAGGAGGAGGAGGAGGAGGGAGGAGGAGGAGGAGGAGAGGGAGGAGGAGGGAGGAGGAGGAGGAGGAGGAGAGGGAGGAGGAGGAGGAGGAGGACGCTCCTCGAGGGGCCTCGCCCTCGACAGCCGCACACGCCCGAGCGATGCCAGGGCGGGCAGCGCGGGGCACTCTTGGGCCGCTTCTGGGCACGGGTGATCCCGCCCCTTAAAATGCCATGCTGGACCCCCGCCGCGCCCTCCGCTGTCGACGCTCCCCTCGTCCACCTGGGCTGCCCTCGCACAGTCCCCGCGCGCTCCAGCAGTGGGACGACGTCGACGGTGACGACGGGATGACCACGACCACGATCACGACGACGGGCACGACGACGACGACGGCGACCACGACGACGAAGACGACGACGAGTACGGCGACGACCACGACCACGACCACGACCACACGACCACGACCACGACCACGACGACAACGACCACGACCACGACGACAACGACCACGACCACGACGACAACGACGACGACGACGACGACGACGACGACGACGACGACGGGACGACGACGACGACGGGACGACGACGACGACGGGACGACGGGCGTTCAAGCCATGCCGTTTTCTTCTTGGGCGTGAGCTCCGCTACGCGGAGAACCTCAGGCAGGCGGGCCAGCCGAGGCCCACGCGCTGGCGCGGGGACAGGAACGAGCGGCCGTTCACGTGGCGCACGGCCACGAGCGCCTCGCCCGCCCCGTCCCTCTCGTCGAGCTGGTAGGTGCCGTACTTGGCGTGGGCCCCCATGCCGTGCTGGAGGATGTCGGCCCTCTTAAGGGGAAGAAGCAAATCAGCGGCGCCAGCACGATTTGTAAGTCGGCGGCTAGGCAGAGTGACTGCGCTGGCGGATGACGCAAACATGGGGCAGGCAAGTGCGAATCAAGCCGCGATGCACGTGAGGGGAGGGGAGATAAAGCAACAGCGCAAACACAAACTGTTGGAGGTCCGCGCGGGTTTCCGGAACGTGCGCTGGAACCCGCTCCCTGGCGCGCGGAGCGCCCCAGGGGCGGCGCCGGAGGCGCCACCAGCGGGCTCTGGCGCAAATCGAAAAACGTGCGCAGAGCTTCGACAGTTTGTCTTCACGCACTTACTTCCCCATCGACCTCTGGGCTTGGCCCAGCGTCTCCTCTATGAAGGTGCCCCTCGTCACAGGGGAGCCCTCGCCGAGCACCACCTCGCGGTAGTGGCGGGCGGAGCAGATGTGCGGCTTGTCGTAGAAGAAGAGCAGTGGCACCAAGGGCACGCCGAACTCCGAGGTGCTGGCGAGTCTGATCTGGATAGAAGAACAAACAGAAGGCCATGACCACAAACTTTCAGAGCTCCGCGTACAGTGCCGTTTTCAATACATGCTCCGCGTGCGGATCATGTATTAACAATGCAATGCAGGATTTAGTATTAAAAACAACGATGAGTTCATGCATATATTTATTCATACATTAATCATGTATTAAAACAAATCTACCTTCCAAAATCCTACGTATTCCAAACTGCCCTGTGGACTTCTTGGATCGGCGCCGGGCCCCCCTTGCGGTGCCTCCGGCGCCACCCCTGGCGCGCTCCGCGCGCCGGGCATGGGAGGGGGGTCCAGCGCCGCTCCAAGAGATCCGCGCGGAGCTCCGAAAGTTCGTGCTCACGTCGTGGTTCGTTCTTCGGCTGGTACTTCGAGAGCACCATCGCCTCGTAGTTCCTCGTCGTGGTGCTGCACAGCCCCACGTACTTCAGGCGGTCCGGGTGGGAGCCCATGGCGAGGAGCACGGCGGGCAAGTCGAAGGCCCGCACGACCTTGAAGCCGCCCAGGGGTACACAAATCCGCCGAGCCTGTCGGCGTCGGCGTCGGCGTCGGCGTCGTCGTGACTGTCGCCGTCGCCGCTGCCCACATTTCCCTGGGCGCTCCTCCTTCAGCGCGCCAGCCAAGCTGGAAGAGCCTGAGCGAAGCTGAGCAACGCCGCAGTTGAGTCGAAGGGGCGCCCCTTCCCTAGGATCTCTTCGCCGCCTGGGGGGGGGGGAGGAGGGAGGAGGGAGGAGGGAGGAGGGAGGAGGGAGGAGGGAGGAGGGAGGAGGAGGGAGGAGGGAGGAGGGAGGAGGGAGGAGGAGGAGGAGGAGGAGGAGGAGGAGGAGGAGAGAGAGGAGGAGGAGGAGGAGGAGTGGTGTTTCGGGGGTGGTGCCGGGGGTCAGAATGCCCAGAGGGGGGCGTCCCCCCCCTGGGTATCCCGGGGCCCCAGAGGCCCCCGCGCACCCGAGGGAGCCGCCAGGAAGCCCCAGCAGGCGCCCGAAAGGCTCCCAAGACACCTCCACAACTGCCCCCTCCCCCCCCCCCGAGGCCCCCGAGAGCGCTCCAGAGACACTTCAAGACGGATCCGGGCCCTCCTCCGTCAGCGCGCCCGCCGAAGCAGAGCAGCCAAAGCACCATTGAGCAACGCCGTGTAGTTCAGTCGCAGGGAAGCCCCTTCCCTAGAGGATCCCTTCCCCACCGAGGGGGGGGGGGGAGCGAGAGGGGCAGGGCTAGGAGGAGGAGGAGGAGGAGGAGGAGGAGGAGGAGGAGGAGGAGGAGGAGGAGGAGGAGGAGAGGAGGAGGAGGAGGGAGGAGGAGGAGGAGAGGAGGAGGGAGGAGGAGGAGGAGGAGGAGGAGGAGGAGGAGGAGGGGTGAGGAGGGAGGAGGAGGAGGAGGAGGAGGAGGAGGAGGAGGAGGAGGAGGTGGGTCAGAAGGCAGCGCCCCGCCAGGGAGGTCCGCCCCCCCCCATATGGCCCCCACTGGCCTCGCAAGCGCCCCCAAGGAACCGCCAGGAAGCCCTGGGAGGCTCCCAAAGTGCTCCCAGGACGCCCCCCCAAATCCAAAGTTCCAAACCTATAAGATTCGAAAACGTCTTCGCTTCGCTTGATGCTGCTATCTCAACGTAAGAAGGAAGTTCACCTCGATGGTGAACTTTTCACAGTGATAAACAAGTTCGGCCTCCGCGCCCCGCGCCCCTGACCAAGCTCTTCTTGGCCGTGGATGATCAACTCTAGCGTGTTAAGGGGGGGGTCCTTTATAATCATCGGCATGGGGTTAGCCTCTCGGGCACTCTTACAGTCATCATACTACCAGATGGAACGCATAATAAGGAATGGAGGGGCTTTTCTGGCCACGGCGGGCCTAGGCAAGCAGGAAGCCCCAAGACACAAACCTAAGGAACAGCCCGAAAACTCAAGCCCCTTCTGAGCCCAAAGTGGTCCTTATTTCAGCGTCTTGGCTGTAGGAGCGTCTGGTCACGACCTTCCCGAATGCATCTTCCATCGACGGGTTCGTTGTCCAGGGTCGGCGGTACTGGCTGTAAGACCATAGCAATACATACAAGCACACTCCAGGATTAACAATATGATTTATATGTCATGGTTTTTGTATTGCCCTCCATTTCCCACATTCTCCGATATCTGAATGGACATCTATGCTTATCTGTGTCGGTGTGTCCGGAGACCTCCTGGTCGTGCTGCACCACGAGGACGAAGGCGGTCCGCACTTCCTGCAGCGCGCGCTTCACTGCGAACCCGAAGCCCTGGTGCTCCGTGCACTCGACAACCTGGAGGGGAAGAAAACTGTGACCATGTCCAAGATAGGGTGCGGAAAGGTCGGTGTCGATCTTCCATCGTGGTCAGCGTCAACTCGTGGATCATCTTCGCGCATCGGCGACGGCTGGAACAGACGATGACCAAGATCGGCATCGACAAGATCCCGCGACATTTTGATCACTTAGCCGCCCCGATGCGCAACACGCAGCCCGTAGCGTGTTGACATGGAGCTCAACGCGTGGACTTCCGACGTAGGTATGGCGCGATGCGTTTGCCAAACTGTGGGCCAACGTGTGCCGAACAAACACGCAACGTGCTCACACGGAGGTTTCGAACACGGTATATGCTGCGCTTCAATACGGGCGTATGAGGACAGCGAGGCTTGGCCATGGTCAGTCTGCTTCCTTCCTCGACGGCCTGCAAGTCCGCGAAGGGCCCCTCGCCCTCGGCGGCGAGTGACCGCACGCGGGCGACGAACTCGCGGTACCTCGACGCGTCGTCGGGCGTGACCCTGCCGGCCTTGTGCTGCGGCTTGCGCGACGCACCCGCCTCCACGAGCCCGTCGCACACGAGGACGCGGGGCGCGCCCAGGAGCCCAGGCACCTGCTGCAGGCTGCCGAGCACGTGCTCCAGCATGTGCCGGGCGTTGCCAGAGGTGCCCCCAGGACCCCCAGGGATTCCCATGGAGGATTTCCCTGGGATTTCTCCCATGGGGGCTCCTCCTCTACGATTCTCATGGACTTCCAAGATGGGTTTCCCCCAAGGGTTCCCCTGGACTACCCCAAAAAAGGACTTCCCCAGGGTTTCCAAGGATTTCCATGGATTTCCCAGGAGGGTCGACCCTGGATTTCAACGGACTCCCCAAGAGGATTTCCCGAGGATCTCCACGCAGGCTCCAGCAGGCCTCCAGGGGGGCCCCCCTCGCGAGGCTCTCAGAGGGGCTCTCCAAGGGCTCCGCGGTGGCGCGCGAAGCCCCGGGGGGGGGGGTCACCCTGGGCTTAGGTCGGGCATGTCCTCCTACAGGCTTACCAGCCTCGAACGTACCCCTATCCCCAAGATTGACGCGCCAAGAGGCGATGACAATCTTCAAAAAGTAAGGGAATCCATGAGATTGGCATCGTGATGAGGAGGTGCCTAGCATAGGGATAGGGATATCTTCCAGGCTGGTAAACAGGCGGAGTTTGAAGGCAAAATGAAAAAGTAGCCAACACATGCTCAAATATATAATCAAATATTATAAGACAATTCGTCCACACACTATGTTCTCACTATTTCGCAATACTCCTCCTGTAGAAGGACATGCCTGCTTCGAGAAAAAGAAACGCCATAAACCATGAACTTGTGGCGCTGCGCGCGGATTTCTTGGATCTGCCCTGGACCCCCCTCCCTGGCGCGTGGAGCGCACCAGGGGCGGCGCTGGAGGCGCCGCCAGGGAGGCCCAGCGCGGATCCAAGAAATCCGCGCGAAGCGCTAGAAGCTTATGTTTGTGGCGTCTTTCCCTTCTTCGAGAGTCCTCGGGGATGGACAGACCTCCCTTTATAGTAAAACGTGGTTCGGTGAAAACGACCTGAGGCCCAAACCTGGCGGGCGCAAGCCTGGAACATAACGGCCACGGCGCCCTCCCCAGACCCCCGACGTCATGATTTTTTCATTACGTCGACCCCTGGAGGTCTGGACCCTTTCCCCATGACCGGCTCTGCATCCTGAGTCGTTTTCTGACGCTCCCGAGGCCCGGTGAGGGCCCCCGGAGGCCAAAAATAATCCAAAACCCCCCGTCGTGATTTTTTCATTACCCGAGGGGGTCTGGGTCTCGAGAACCGAAGACGGACAATTCACACCAATCCGACGTGCCACTGCATGGGGGCTCTGCCCACCCCCGAAATGCCGCCCTATAGGCCCGAGGAGCCCCTCCGGCGCCCCCCGGGGGATGTGGTGCCCGGGGTTCGAGGGCACCGGGCCGGCGGGGCGACCCCGAAGAGCCCATGGCCCCCTCGCGCTGCGGGCAAAAATCGCGGCCCCAGACCCCCTCGGGCAACGGAAAAATCACGACGGGAGGTTTTTGGTTATTTTCGGCCTCTGGGGGCCCTTACCGGCCCTCGGGACCGTGAAAAAACGGCTCAGGATGCAAAGCCGGTCACAGGGAAGGGGTCCAGACCTCTGGGGGTCGACGTAATGAAAAAATCATGACGTCGGGGGTCTGGGGCGGGAGGTTTCTTCAATGCTTTCAGCCCCGGGGCCGTCGGGAATTCGGCTGCACGTAGAGAGTGGCCCTGGGCAAGAGGTGACCTGTGGTGCGCGGCTTCGTGGGAGGCGCGAGGGGGCCAAACACAAGCGCGCAAGACGCTACTATCGCACTGAGCGCGGCGATCGGGGGACCCCAGTGAGCTCCGGCGAAGGGTCACTCTTACGTGCAGTCGAGGAATGGGCGCTGGATGGACACGTTGAGGCGGGGCGGGCCTCGAGAGGGGCCGAGACCTCCTCGCGCTGTGCCAAAGCCACGACGAAAGGTTTTTCGCAATTTTAGGCCTCCGGGAGCCCTCACCGGGCCTCGGGGCCGTCAACAAAACGACTCGGGATGAAAGACGAGGAGGAGGAGGAGGAGGAGGAGGAGGAGGAGGAGGAGGAGGAGGAGGAGGAGGAGGAGGAGGAGGAGGAGGAGGAGGGGGAGGAGTAGGAGGAGAAAGAGGAGGAGGAGAAGGAGGAGGAGGAGGAGGAGGAGGAGGTCCCGGGGAAGGGGTCCAGACCTCTGGGGGTCGACGCGGCGGAAAGAGCACGGCCTCGGGGGTCCGGGGAGGGTGTGGCTTGCAACCCGCGCCCTGTAGCAGGGGGTACGTCGACCCTTCTCCCGGGCGTCGTTGGGTCTTCGGATGGACCAAGAATTTGGGCCCCACCCCTGGGATAATTATAACATGGGGGGGGCGCCCATCCTCGATAGGGGTGCATCCCACTCGCCCCCGTTGTGGTGTATCTCAGGGCTTCCCTCCTGGCCTGAGCGGCTTCGTTTTTTCGCCGCAAAAGAACATGTGAAGGGAGAGAAATCGCCTGCGACGCTGGACCTCGACAGAGATCTCTGCAGCGCCCCGACGAGGCTCATCAAGCCTCTGGCGCAACGTGGTGGCCTCTGAGCCCCAACGGCGTCGGTCGCGGACCACACCCCGGCGTAAGCACACCCAGACCTCCGGCTGCTCCAAGTCTTTCGATGCCTGGGCCCCGAAGGCCCGGACCACCTCCCCGGGGCCGGCTGTCCGTCCCGCGCCGTGTCTTGACGCTCCCGAGGCCCGGCGAGGGACCCCCGAGGCCGACCACGGCCGAAGAGCCGCCCGCGCTAATATTTTTTTGGGGGCCTCGGGTCTCTGGGACCCGTCGTGGTCGCCGACTGGTCGTGACGATGACCGTGATGTCCGCGGCAGGGGCCGCCCCGCACGCGCTGGGGCGAGCGGGCGCAGCAAAGGTGCACGCAGCGGCAGCCCAGTACGGGCCGCCGGGCGGCAGCGGCGTGGCCAGCTGGAGATCGTTTGGTATCGTGCGGCGATCGCCCGGGTTATCCAAGGGGGGTTGGGCAGGGGGGTCACAAATGGGGGGGTCAGAAAAGGTCCCCTTTCGTGCCCCTTTCGGGCCCCTCCAGCGCCCCAGGGGGCTCGTTTAGGTACCGTTTGGGTACCTTTTCGAACCACCCTTGCCACCCCCCCATTTATGACCCCTCCATTACGCGGCGCCCAAGGGGGGGGGGAGGGGGGTACAGCCGGCCCGTATCATAAGGATGCGCGATAAGGATGCAAGGGCCTTGGACGCCCATCTCGAAGCTTTTCGAGCGGGGCGCGGCCAACGAAGGTGGCCAAGGATGGGCCGAGGAGGCAAGGATGCAAGGGTACCCTTGGGAAGGTTGCCCATCCTTCTTAGAAGGGTTGACTGTAGTGGGAGGTGCCGGCCGAGGACCTAACCAGCTCGCTTTGGGCAGTCCCGCGCAGTCCCGCGCGAACCCACACAGCACACCCCCATCCGGATCCGTGAAAACCGACAATGTCGGGCTCTCCAGCTGGGGCCCAGACATCCGGCTGCTCCAACTTTTGCGATGCATGCGCCCCGAAGGTCCGGACCACTTCCCTGGGGCCGTTTCTTGACGCTCCCGAGGCCCGGCGAGGGCCCCCAGAGGCCGAAAGCGGCACAAACACCGCCCGCTCCCATCTTTTTCTGGAGCGTGGAGGAGGAGGAGGAGGAGGAGGAGGAGGAGGAGGAGGAGGAGGAGGAGGAGGAGGAGGAGAGAGGGAGAGGAGGAGGAGGAGGAGAGGAGGAGGAGGAGGAGGAGGAGGAGGAGGAGGAGGAGGAGGAGGAGGAGGGGGAGGAGGAGGAGGAGGAGGAGGAGGAGGAGGAGGAGGAGAACGAGGAGGAGGAGGAGGAGGAGGAGGGCGGGCCCGACCACCCGGTGCTCGCCGGACCCTGCAAGCACAAAGCACCCTCCTGGGCGGCGTTCAGCGCCGCGACGGCGTGGCCCACGTCGGGGGGGCTGCACGCCTCCAGCTGCACCCAGGGCCCGCCCCTGGCGCCCGCCGACGCGGTCCGTCCGATAGACGGCCCCCGGCCGCGGCGACGGCGACGAGTGGACGACGACGACGACGACGACGTCCACGACGACGACAACGACGACGACGACGACGACGACGACGGCGGCGACGACGACGACGACGACGGCGGCGGCGACGACGACGACGACGACGACGACGACGACGACGACTGCGGCGACGACGACGACGACGACGACGACGACCACGACGAAAGAGATTTTTTGGCGAATTATTTTCGCCCTGACGGCGCTCGCCCCGGACCGGTCAAGAGCCGGTTCGGGATGAACGTGTCCCGGGGAAAAGGACGACACTTCCGCGGACCCCGTATTGAAAAAAACAAGCCATCGGATCGCTTGGTCCACCGACGTGATTTGTCAAATTCGCGGCCCCAAGGATCTCCCGACCCTTCCCCGGGGCCAGCTTTGTCCCCCGATGATCGTTCTCTGATAGACCCGGGGCCGGATATTACAGCACCCTAGGCGCCAGAATCAGTGAAACACGCCCGGATTGAAAGAACCACAGTGTTGGAGGTAGAGGTCTCCTAGATGGGGTCCGAGAAGATGGGATCGGAAGATCACGCCGCATCGGCGATGCGTCGCCGAGGCATCGGCGATGCATCGGCGACGTCGGCAGAGCGACGCCAGCGCGGAGAAAATCGGGCTCCACATCGAGCCGCATCGGCGATGCATCGGCGATGCAGCGCGATCCTCCGACGCCATCCACTCGGACCCCATCTGGGAGGCCTGGAGGAAGTCTGGGCCTCTCCAGCTCCTGCCGCATGCGCCGCACGTCCCCTGCCACGCCGTTCACGGCCAGCAGCGCGGTCCCCAGGTGCAGCCGCCGCCACGGCTCCCGCCGCGCCGCGCAGAGGCTGTTCCACTCCTCCGCCAGGCCGCCCCGCTCGACCGCCGTGACGAGCAGCAGACGGTGGTCAAGAAGGTCGGGTCGGACGAAAGGGGCGGGTTAGTTCGAGGCCTCCCGGACGGGATCGGAGCAGATGGGGCCGGAGGATCGCGCCGCATCACCGGTGCATCGGCATCGGCGATGTCGGAGACCCATCGGCGCCGTCGGCGTGGAGAAAGTCGTGCTCCACATCGAGCCGCATTGCCGGTGCATCGGCCATGAGGAGCGAGCTCAGGTCCCAGACCCCCGACGTCATGTTTTTCTCATTACGTCGACCCCCAGAGGTCTGGACCCCTTCCCTATGACCGGCTTTGCATCCTGAGCCGTTTTTCACGGCCCCGAGGGCCGGTAAGGGCCCCCAGAGGCCGAAAATAACCCAAAACCTCCCGTCGTGATTTTTTCATTGCCCGAGGGGGTCTGGGGAGCGAGCTCAGGTGGGAGCCCTGGTCCAGCACAGGGGGGCGGGTAATTGGCGAATCAGCCCACGGTTTGGCCTCGGTTTTTCGGCTCTCGGGGGCCGGTTGTCGAGCCCCGGGGCCATCCAAAATGGATCGGGGGCGAAGAACTACCCCCCTGGAGCCCATACCCCGACCTCGTGCTTCGTTGTTGTTGTTGTTGATGATGATGATGTTGTTGTTGTTGTTGAACACTATTTATTCTAAAGAATAATTATTGTTGGGACCCCTGGTGCGCGGCCCCCTCGCCGCGCCTAGGCCGCAGCCACATTTTCATCATTTTCGTGAGGAAGTCTCAGGCAAAACGTGGGTGTCCGGATCCGGTTGTTTTGTTGTCCCCCGTTTTCCCTTGCAAAAAATAAGGCTAAAGTGGACATTTCTTGTTCTAACATAACCAAACTTCAAGAATCCCTTGCAAAAAATAAGGTAAAGTGGACATTCGCGCGCGCAAGACGAAATCCTTCCAAAACCTTAGTCTTCGTAGCGATTTTCACATAAAAACATGAAAAACCCAATGGTTTTTCAAAAAAAGGGTTTCAAAAATTCACCCCGCGCGCTCTTGCGGATTTCGTAGGAAACCCAACACTTTTTAACATTTCTGTCAAACGGGCTTTTGCGAGCAACTTTTTCACGTGCTTCGAACTTCTGCCAACAACGGTTGCGCACCTGCCAGGGCCATCATCCCTGTCAAATAATACCATGCGGGACACATTCGTTTTTTCTTCGCGCGCGCACGCCGAAATCTTCAAAAACCATTGGGTTTCTTAGGAATTTTAGCACCGCGCAACATAAAATCATACGAATCGCACCGTAGGTCCTCGAAAAACATCTGTACGAATTTTCAAAATTTCTACCCGCGCGCGCTGTCCGAATCCTAAAAAACCAATGGTTTTTCAACATTTATGTTACATGAGCTCGCGCGAGCTACTTTCGCAACCCTGCGCCAGTGTAGTACCCATGCGCCAGTGTAGTAGCCACGGTCGTCCGCAGGCCACGAAGTGAAGTGTCCGAACGTCATAGGGCGGGAAGCTGGGTGTGGGTGGTGGCGAAGAGTCGTTTGGAAATTTGGTAGAGCTTGAACCGGCCCCCCCACAAAGTGGGGGTATTGCCCGCCTCCTATGAAAACCCTGGCACTGGTGAGAACGGAGTGTCCCCACGTGCTAGTAATTGTTGTTGTTGTTGTTGAACATTATTAATTCTAAAGAATAATTATTGTTGGGGCCCCTGGTGCACGGCCCCCCTGCGCCGCCTAGGCCGCAGCTACATTTTCATCATTTTCGTGAGGAAGCCTCAGGTAATTCGATGTGATCAAGATCCGGTTGTTTTGTTCCCCCCCGCTTTCCCTTGCAAAAAACACTATAAAATGACATTTCTTGTTCTAATATAATCAAATTTCAAGAATCCCTTGCAAAAAATAAGGTAAAGTGGACATTCGCGCGCGCAAGACGAAATCCTTCCAAAAGCTTAGTGTTCGGAGCGATTTTAACATAAAAACATCAAAAAACCAATGGTTTTTCAACAAAAAATGTCAAAATCTCATCCCGCGCGCTCTTGCGGATTCGTAGGAAACCCAACACTTTTTAAACATTTCTGTCAAACGGGCTTTTGCGAGCAACTTTTTCGAACTTCTGCGACAACGGTTGCGCACCTGCCAGGGCCATCATCCCTGTCAAATAATACCATGCGGGACACATTCGTTTTTTCTTCGCGCGCGCACGCCGAAATCTCCAAAAACCATTGGGTTCTTAAGAATTTTAGCACCGCGCATCATAAAATCACACGAATCGCACCGTAGGTCCTCGAAAAACACCTGCACGACTTTTCAAAATTTCCACCCGCGCGCGCTGTCCGAATCCTAAAAAAACCAATGGTTTCCCAACATCCTGGACAAGCACAACCATCAGGACAACCATCGGGACAATCATCGGGACAACGATCGGGACAACCACAACCATCAGGACAACCATCGGGACAACCATCGAGACAACCATCGGGACAACCATATCCTCTCTCTCTTGTGTATTCCCACATCCCTCAGGAATTTGCCCTAAAGATGTGATCAACTATCTTGTGAGTACGTATCATGTGTATCATGTGTATCATGTACCATATGCATCATATGCAACAGATGTTCTGTGGAAGGCTTAACAACTTCTGTGGGTTAACAAGGCTTAACAACTTCTGTGGGTGTACGAACGTAGGCTTAACAACTTCTGTGGGTGTGTACTCCACGCCAGTGTAGTAGCCACGGTCGTCCGCAGGCCACGAAGTGAAGTGTCCGAACGTCATAGGGCGGGAAGCTGGGTGTGGGTGGTGGCGAAGAGTCGTGTGGATATTTGGTAGAGCTTGCACTGCCCCCCCACAAAGTGGGGGTATTGGCTGGCGTCGCATGAAAACCCTGGCACTGGTGAGAACACTGAGCGTTCGGGTAAAGTGATTGTTGTTGTTGTTGTTGTTGTTGTTGTTGTTGTTGTTGTTGTTGTTGTTGTTGTTGTTGTTGTTGTTGTTCTTGTTGTTGTTGCTATAGATATTAAAACGTGCAACGTCGAACCCGAGAGGTCTTGATGACCCCTTCCGCGGGACCGGTTCTTCATCCTGATTTTTGTTGACGATCCCGAGCCACGATGAGGACACCCAGAGGCCGAAGCAAGCGATAGCGGAACCTCCCGTCGTGATCTGCTTTCCCCTCGCGCGGGGGCTCCGGGAAGCGGTCGGGACCGCCAAGGGCCGCGGATGTAACGCATCACGCCTGTCGGCGCATGTCAGGGAAGCTGGCCTCGCGCCTCCAGGCCCCGGGGAGGGGCTTGTCCGAACGCGTATCGAGCAGGGCGCCTTGGTGGCGGGGCCAGAGCGGGCTGCGCGCAGCAGAGCTCGCCCGAGCCGCCACCCGGGCCTCCCCCCGACGTGTGAGCAAGGGGCAGGGGGGCAGGCACTTTGTGGGCCCCGGAAACGGCAGGGCCGTTTTTTCACCGTTTCCCCAAAAACTGCCCATTGAAAATGGAAACGGCAAAAAAACGGCGACCGGAAACGGCAAAAAAACGGCTCCAGGATTGGAACCGGAGCCGGAACCGGTCAAGAAACGGCGACGGAACCGGCAAAAAAACGGCCTCGGAACCGGCAAAAAAACAGCAAAACGGAACCGTTAAAACAACGGCAGGCATCGCGCTCTGCAGGAGCGGCGGCGGCAAATGCCCGGGGTCGTGGCGCTCCGCGGGGCCGACCCGTCACGTCCCGAGTGTGGTTTGTCTGTGGCGGTCCTGGAGCCCGGCGAGGGCCCAGAGGCCGAGACCCCTCCACCTCCACCTTCCATGCCTTCCGACCTCCGGGCGCGGAAGAGTTCATCGAGACCCATGGAAGCCTTACGCAATCCAGAGAAGCCCACATCGACCCTATCGAAAAAGGGGCGGCAGCTTAGGGCAGACGAAGAGTGATGGGGGAGGGACTCCCGCCAGACATCCGACGATGTGTGTGTGTGTGTGTGTGTGTGCGTGTGTGTTGTTCCCTGCGCGGCCCCAGAGGTCCCGACCCTTCCCTGGGGCCAACTTTCAGTCGGGCATGTCCCTCTGCAGGAGGAATACCGAACAAAAACTCAAACAAAAAAATAATCAGGGGACGATGTTTCGACTACTATTGGCAATTTGGGAACATTTTTTGAACTTTTCTTCCAATAACCGCCTGCAGGTGGGCATGCCCGACTTAAGGCCAAGTTCTTACCACAGACGTATCTTGCTGGTCCTGGGCCAGACAGCGCCCCCCCTGGGCCAGAATGCGGGGCAATAGCCGCTGGTCGAACAAACACGCAAAACGTCGGAGATCTTGGCCTCCCAATCCCCCCCCTGACCTCGGATCCGCCATGCTTTGGTGGACTTTCTGGTACACAGTTGCGTCGGAAATGCACCTAAAACAACACGAACCAGTACAGTAGAGGCCCGACCACAAGAAACCTCCCACAAGAAACCCAACCCTGAGACCCCAGGGCGCCCAGTGATTCTTGGTGTGGGAACGTCACGCTTTCCATCGCAGAACCATCGAAACCCAGGAATCCCAGGGCACCCTGGAGGCAAGCAGGGTGTTTCTTGGCATGGGTCTCCACTGTAAGGTGTCAGTACCCGTCCCAGACCCAGACATGCGACGTCCTGATTTTTTCACAACGGCGTCCCTTGAGGTCCCGACCCTTTTCTCGGGACCGGTTTTTCATTCTGAGTCGTTTTTTTTTTACGGTCCCGAGGCCCGGCGAGGGCCCCCCGGAGCCGAAAATGGCCAAAAACCTCCCGTCCTGATTTTTAACGACGCGATCATGTCTGTGGGAAGGTGCCAATACCCGCCTCAGGAGAGCGGGGCGCAGAGTTCATCAAAAGTATGGCGGAAACAGCGACGGTAGCGTAAGGCGAAAATCGAAGTGCCTTGGAGGGCGTCCGAGGA